TTTTTAGTACAATGTACGAGTCAAAAATTTCAAAATAACCATAATGATTTTTTATGTCTGTTAAATACACCATAAGTATTAAATTCAGTCACCCTGATGTTAAATATTTAACTAAAAATAGGAGTAAAATGAATATTTTACATAATGCATTATCTTCGATATTAGCTGTCTTTTTTTTTTTTTTTGGCACAGAAAAATAATATTATTTACCAAAATTTTGTTTCAATAAGATTTCAACAAAGTATAAATAAAAATAAACAAACATACAAAAAATTGGTAACATTATTTATGCTCAGTTTTAAATGACTTAACTTGCATATGAATTTTCCGACAGTTGAAAGTGAAAAATAAAATTTTCGTCATACTTTACTTGGGAAATAATTATAATAATATAGTACTTTCTGTTTTGTTTAGTATCAAAAAATCAATTATTCAAAAAAAAAAACTATAACACAGGTAATAATCTTGAACAGCTACTATAGTTTTACTTTAAAACACAAATTCATCAATAAGCTCTTACACGGTTTTCGTAATAAGTTATGCTATTGTCAATTTCTGTAGTAAAAAAATATAAAATTTATGGTTAACACAACCGGACGTTCTAGGAAACAAAAACTGATGCAAGAGTAGGCCTCTTTTTGTAGTGCTTCTGAAAATTTATACTTTGTGATCATAATTATAAAACTAAGCTATACATATCTAATACTTATATTTTACATCTGGTACTGTAACTTATTTGAAAACATAAACAATACATATCTCTTTGCAGAATACTACAGAAGTTCGTGTTGGCCACTACTTTGATTTGTTATTCTATCTGCTACACAAACATTGAAATCGAATTAAGCAGTTTTCTTCCAGAACTTTCTTCAACAGTATGGATAACTATTTACTGTAACTGAGGCGATGTTATTATACATAACATATGGTTTACATTTCTGAACAATGTCATATATTTACTTTTTAACATTCACGAAGATTATACAGCTATACCCCATGGTACAGCCAAGTAGACACATTGACTACAATTTGTTCTAACACTAGATTAAACTAGCCAAATGTAATTGTTCAGTGTAAATTTTTTGAACTCTTTTTATTTTTTCTGTATCTAACAAATTTTCTCAAGATCATATCTTTTCAAGCTTATGTTACCTGTTAAGATATTTAAACACCACTGCCTTGTTTACCATGAGCTCTATGTTACAAAAACAGAAAGGAAACGTTTCATGGTTGGTCACTACTGGAATCACGATATTAATATAGATTTAATACAATAAATTTATGTGAAGTTTCAATTTAAAATTAAGATGCAAATATAAAAGCATTACAAAAATACCTGTAGAAAATATCCCTGAAACAATAAATTAATAAAAGTTAGATACATTAAATTAAAATCAAATATAACAAAGAATACATTAGGATGGAACTTAACATGAAAATAGACTACAACAAAAAATACTTTGTAAAAAGGTTTTCAAAACAAAAAAAATTCAAAAGGTACAATAACAATATATACAAAATTAATAGTAATTAGATTCATAACCAAGTAACAAATGGATGTGCAATCTATGCAAATCTATCAGCATGTTTACATCAAACTTAGGGAATTTTTAGCATGGTGTCAAACAAACTATACTTGAATTATATAGGATATTACTACAGTATATTATATTACAAGCTCTAGCAGGAATGTATGGTTGATATTAACAAATATACATCAATTGCTCATTACAATAAATTTTTTTTTCATCTCATGTGGTAAATTTATTTTTATAATATTCTATTATAATCTATTTCATGGCAAAGCTACTATCTATGCTGTCTCTAATTAATTTTGAACTACTAACCACAAGGTAGGGAATTAGCCTTGGGCTACTATTTACCAATGAATAGCGGTATCGACTATCGTATTATAATGCTCCTCATGACTGAAAAGACTAATCTTGTTAGCATTGCTGGTATAACACAGGAAAAAAGGTTATAATGAATTTCATATTTGTAAAATTGAGCATCTACTTGCCATTTTAAGCTATAAATAAAAAATAAATGGGTACACAATTCCAACATTTTAATATACCTGTCATTTCTCAAGTAAATCTTTTTTATCTCATTTCAAAAAATTAAAATAGTCTACATTCAAAATTTTGGCTACCCAATTTTTAAGTGGAAAAGATACTACCTTTTAAAATTATGATGTCATAAATCTTTAGAAGTAATTAAACAGATAAAGAGCAGTGCATGATGGCTTTCATGCTACAAATAACCATGTCTAAAATCTAATCTTGCAAAAGTAGAATGACTGAGACACAATGACAATATACCTTGCATAACTTTTCTGTAAAATAAAACATGAAAAAACTTGAATTATATAAAAATGTTCTTTATCAAATATTATTATTTATATATATATATTACATCAGATAACATGCACATGTATATATGTGTGTGTGTGTGTGTGTGTGTGTGTAGTAAATACTCAACCCTACAATATATTTGTCTGAGGATCTCCATCATAGTGAATTCAAGTAAAGTATTTTTCCATAGAATTTAAAATTTTTTAGTTTAATTCACAAATTGTGTAGATGATATGTGCACACAAGTTCTACATGCTACATATACAGAAAGTGTAAATATTTTGTCTATTCATGTACCAACATGAATGTTTGTAACATTCAGTTATCAAAAATCTGATGTTCTCTCAAGCTGTCCTAGTGTTTAACAAACACAGTTAAACAAAACAAGTTATCAGAAATAACAGCTTTGCTAAAGAGTAACTCCTGATTTATTTGATGTGCTTTAATTCTTAAAAAAACAAATGAGGCAGAGTATATATATCCTCAAAGCAATGTTCAATAATTTAAAATTTAAGTGCAATGTCTACATATATTTGGTATGACAAGTCATTTTATAAGGAGTGCAGGAATTTGTTATATGTACAAAAAACAGCAGCTACCATTTCACTATGAAAAGTGTAAATTACAGTTAAACCAAATACTATCTTATTTAGTAATAAGCAAGTTTCAAACTTGAAATCACTGTCATTACATCACTTATTACGATTTGACATATGAATGTGTGATTAATAGAATTATTATTTTTTTATTAAATAATTAACCTCGATGAAATTCACTATTAGAATAAAAATTAAACTATTTGAGTAAATAGTCAATTACACATAAACACAAAAATAATACAACTTACCCATGTTAATCATAGGCAATATGCAGAGAATAATGTAGGAATTTACTGAACTGTCTTTATAAAATAATGCATTAACAAAATATAAAAACTAATGAAATCAATACAGTATATAAAAAACAAAATGAAATTTATCTATACTGGTGAACCTTAGTTATAAGTAATTAAATTTGACTAAGAATTTAATATACTTTCAAAATATATTAAGTTAGACTTTTAACGCTATACCTGTAATATGACTACTTAAGAATTGTCCATGCACTTTCAAAAGCTTAATTTCATAACTAATGAGTTATAAAATCAGCAAATTAACTTAAATATACCTTTAGCTTTACAAGTCTATACACTTTCTCATTGGCATTAATATTTATTGTACAAACTTCTACAAAACTTTAAGTCTTGAAATACTATAAATATACAAATAATTTAAATTCAAATTAACTAATTTGCAAGTTATACTGATACTTTACAATTTATATCTAATCAAACACAATTTTATCTGTAATCTGTGTTACACTGATTAATTAATAGAAATTACTTGCATTATTATAATCATTTTTTCAACTATTTTTCACATGATATCCTAAACATTCTAACTTATAGTTTTCTGGATAAAAAATGTACAAACTAACACAAAATTTTTACTGACTTGCAAGTCAATTAAAGTTTAAAGTCAAATTTTTTTAACATCAAATAAGCAAGGAAATGAAAGATAAAGTCATACAAATTAACTAACATGTAGTAATAGTTTTCCATGAGAAACAAGACAAAACACAACAGACTCTACACTACAGAAGCACAAAAAATATATAATGTAAACTTGGGAAATTGACAAGCAAACATTAAAATGCTTTTTGTTTTGTTAAAATGAAACATGCATCACCAGAAAGCTTGCATTAAAAGCTAGATACTACCTAAAACATTTAACACACATGCAAAACAATTTAAACAAAATGTATACTCCTCTTGTGCTTACCTGAAAATAGTTTTACTTTCAAGTTTCTGCAAGTAATTCTGGCAGTGAGAACCACTTATTACAAAATCTGAAACACTTTGGTTAAGCCTATAAAATTCATTTCACAAAAAATATTGATAAAACATTTACAAAGTTTGCACTTATGTTTTTCTTGTACAATCTTTCAATCTGAAGAATGCAAAAATAAAATGGTAATCACTATCTCATTATCAACACACTAAGATAAATTTTATAGGCTTTGTGCATAATAGACTTATTCATTCTAAAATTATATGCAAGTTTCATTTAAAACTAAAATTAGTCACTCTTCAAATCCAAAAGCCACTGTTGTTCAACTGAACAAAACAAATACGTGCCAGTATATCATCACTACATTCAAAATTCTTGCCAAACATCTGAAAAGATAAACACTATGAACAATGATAGAAAATGTTCTAATTAGTGTAGTGTACTTCCGGTTGATATTACAGAGTTTGAGGTCTTTAGAACATGCTTTCATGCAAACTTTTATCATATTAGATCAAGTCATATGTGCCTGATTATCAATAGGCATAATAAAGGAAAAAAACATCTTTTAAGGTTGGTCACACAACCAGTAAAACTAACAAAAGACTATCCAATAATTTGACTGAGCACTGTTGTTAGAAAAAATATTAGATCAAAGCCCAGTTAAAAGAAAATCATGGGTTAAAAGTAGATGATGAAAGAACAGTTACGTTTTCTAAGCATTTCATCCCAGTTTTCACAAAATTAACTGTTATTCATATTATTCAAACCTAAAAACTGAATATTTTTTACAAAGATTTTTATTCAAAGTGTCTATTAATATAATATTATCAACATTTTAGATAAATAATTAATTTTATAATAGTTATTTGTCCAATAAACAATTATATTTTCACCTGTTTTAAAAATGCTGAATAAATTTTGTGCAACAATAGTAAATAACATTGACTTGAAATACAACTGTGTAATATAAACAGTAAGCAAAAGCTACTATCATTATCAACAGTATATTTGTGTTACAGTGAAATTACTTCAACTACTATCAGTACAACACAAGAAAGAACAGATAATACTACATAAAGGTATAACATTACGTGACCTTCAAACTTGCACTGTATTAACAGTTTTCATTACTTATAATATTTCAAAGATATAATATATATAACAATATGCAACACATAAACTTATTCAAACACTAATACACGTTTTACTTTTCCACCATCTATTATATATATATACACACATAGCTACATTTATTTCAAGCTGCCTTAAACAATCAATTTCACAATACTGTAGTTCATAAATTTATATAGGGAACATACACCACAAACACTGGTGTAGCATAGATCTGAGAATATTTCATGCAACGTCTTTTTCTGGCTCCAGAAAGAACTGATGAAATTTAAACATCAGATATATATATAAAACACAACCTGTTCTTGTACCTTCAAATGGTAAATACTTATTTGTTCAACAGAACCTCTACATGCTTTTCAATCACTTTTGCCATACAAATGAACAGTCTTAACGAATTTCATAATTTTCTATAATTCTGTAAAAAACTACCACTCTTTTCAAATACCATGCATTCTCCAAACATGTTAAACATTGTGAACCTTTGAAATCAAAGGAGCCCTAAAGAACAAGTAATGCTCTTTATTTGTAAAGCTCTACTGATTGTTATCTTCCTATGTTGTGGATGACACAACTCCAAACATCAAACTTTTTTTTTCAATTAAAGATACTGTTCAATAAGTAACTCTCTCAAAAACCCCTTTTACTGAAGAAAAGATGTACATAGGAATTATCAACATGGGAGAGAATGGTGATACACAAATGCTTCATATACATGGATTTTCCAATCAGAAGCTAGGTATTAGGAGGTGGGATATAAATTAGGTAACAAACTTTACCCAGGAATCTCCAATAATTTTAAGTTTCAAGGAGAACATGCCAGCGACAAACCTGTTCCCCTTTGTTTTCACGCATGTCATTCCAATGAGACAATTCCTCTTCTCCACTGCTGTTCAAACCTAAAGAAAACCAGCCAATCATCTCATTGCGCTTCATGCTGCGTTTGTTATAAACAGAAACCATCAGAGTAACATCAGGAAGCTGGAAAAGTGCCACCTGATGAAAAAAACAGTTATACACATCAATTAATATTAATCTTGCTTTTGGAACACTTAAAATCAATTACAAAGTAGAACAACAATTAATAATGTCTATACCTAAACTAGAAATTAAAAGTGAATAATAATTGCTAAATAGTCATTTCTGAAACAAACACTTTCTAAAGTACATCTGTAACATCATACTGAGAATGGTTTACTGGACCAAATGTAAGCACATTTTTTACAAAAAAGGCTACCATATGTTTAGGAATATAAGACGTACCCTTATTTTGAAGACAAAGTTTTGGGGGAAAAAAAGCTACAATCGCATTTGAAAGATTTTTATTGAACAAAAATTCAATTTGATACTTTAGAAATTAGTATATATTGTTCTAAACACAAATGAGTTCAAAACATC